CCAAGGCTTTAATACACCCTCCAGAATAATTTTCGCAATAATATTCGGCATTTATTCTGATGCCACTGCCGATTAATACGAGCGACACAAAAGATTTATTCACCTTTAAATGCTGGAGTGCTCTAACTATAGCCACTTGTGTTTTTCCAGCCAAATATAAAGAAATCACATTATCACGCTTGAATTCCATCACGAATAACTTTTTCTGGAAAATTCTCACCAAAATCCTTTTGTATGCTTGTAAACAATATAATGAGCTGATATTGGAATAATTTTAACAGCTGTCTGACGAGTGGCTTAGAAATGACAGCAGTCTGAAGTTGGTTGCAGTTATTTCATCTCAACCTGTATATTCGATTATAAATCTCTGATGGCTTAGATAGAGTTTGGGAAAATATAACTTCCTTCTGCACAAAATCCTTGAGATGGCCATTGAAAATTTCACTTGGCCCTTTTAATACATTTTTAAAAAATTATCCGATTTCTCCAACAGCTTCGGGATGGCTATATAAACGCCTTAATTTTTCAACTGAATCCCATGTAAATTTCTTCATTTCGCAAAAAACCCCATCTCCATAGTCATCGTTTTGCATTCTTTTGACCTCTCCTCCTCTAAGCCTTTCATTAGAACTTTTGTTGGTTGTTGGCGAAAATTTTAGTAGCCAAACTAAGTAAACAACAGCGTCCATTTTCCGCCCATTACTGTGGTTGATTACTTTTCCGTTTCGTGCATGCGTTCCTTCGTGCGCTCGTTTGCCCCTTGGTGCGTGCTAGTGTCTGAAGAAGGCATTCAAGTTAACATTCTCGTTTTTATTTTGCCACACGAGTGAATGCGTGTGTGTGTGTGTGTGTGTACAAGTGCATGTCCTTGCTGCAGTTTCACTGGGGGTAAATGGCTACAAAACGTCGTTTTGTAATCACGCTGTTTATCCCATTAAGACAATCATGTTTCAAGAGATATTATTAGTGAGCTGGCTGACTGGCTGGATGGCTGACTGCCTGGCTGTTAAAACGGGTGTTGCACTCTCGAATCGACTCTTAGCCTTGCTACATGTTGTTACAACATGCCTGGCCAAACAACAATGCAATGGCTGGCCAGAGAGATGGAGAGTGTGAATTAACAAAAAAGGATAACCTTACGTTGGCATTGGAGGCGACAACGACGACGACGGAGAGGTGACGACTACGCCTTTGCCAACAGACCATGGTGCTTATGGCTTGTTAGTATTTTAAGCACTTAAATAGAGGTTGGCAAAACTTCTTACTGTCTTTATGCTCGTGGTGTTGGTAATGGTTATCTTTAACGCTTGCTCCACTGGATATGCCATTACACATACATGTGCATGTATGCATCTCCGTGTGTCCTGGCTGTTGTGTTTTGTTTGTCTTAGTCGAGCAACAAATTTGTAAAATGCTAACCATTATTGCTACGAGTTAAATGCGCCAGCCACAAGCAACAAAACTTATGAGAGCAGCCCCACAGAAGCTGGGAATGGGAAATTGTGGGAGTTCTTGTGGAGTTAGGGGGAGAGCATACAACACTTTCGTGCTTTCAATGCTGGCGTTACGGGAGTTGTGTAATTTTATATCGTTGTAAACACATGCAACATTGTTGCTGATGTTTTATTTGTTTTTCCGAGACGTTTGCATGCAAAGGTGTGCATTCATGTGCACGTGTGTGTGTGAGTGTGTGCATGTTCAAATGCTCACACGACGAGCTCGCACAAAGTGTGTGTAATTAAAAGCTGATGACAGCTTACATACGTTTGCATTTAATTTTTCCCTGTTTGTATTTTTAACACTTTTTACTCCCACACACACACTCACATGAATATACAAATACACATACACAGGTATGCCAACAGTCACCGCACCTGGTGCAAATGACGCGTATTTACCATTCCACGCTGAGCTGTTACCGCTGCACGAATGCACAAATGAAGGAATTTGAGAACGCATCCGGAAACCATGTTAAATGTTTTGCCATTTCGTTGTGGCGGTGATTCCATCCCATCAACTGAAGCAAAACAAGTTGTAAGTTTCTCAAGATGTTATTATTTGATACATCAAGCATTGTGTCGAGTTGCTCTTGAGCGGTGTGAAAATAAGCAAAACTTTTCAAATCAAATGCCAGTTTTTCAAAAAGGAGAAAATAATTTATGGCGAGGAAAATAAAAGAGATGCTTTAATGAAAAATGAAAAGAGGTTAGAATTCTACAAGAATGAAATCAGTCACTTCTCGCGGTATACAGACCACAGCATATAAAATTTTTAAATTTAAACGATATGAAATTCCAGAAAATACTCTACAGATCACAATTTAGACCAGTCGACGGAGTTTTGCATGGGAAAAGAGTTTTTGATAGGGTGGATGCCTATCAATTTGGATGGTCATCAGAGAATATTTAGAGAGTGAAATGGGCTACAACTTTTGCTTGAAATTTTTTGAATATCTATTAGCACGACAGAGAGCGTAAATATGGGAAAAATACAAAAACCAATCACAACATTTTTGAAGGACTGTAAAAATATCAATTTAAAAATTAAATTAGTTTGGGCCTAAGCTTTTTTACTTGTTGCGGAATATTTTCTAAAAATAAAAGAGCACAATTCGTGGATTCTGAAATATATTTTTAAGAATTTTAAAAAATAATTGTTAACCATTTTAGACCAACAAATGTGGATTTTTTTAGACATAGGGCTAGAGAAGTCATTTAACATTAGATAGGCCAAAACATATATCATCGATATTATGGCCTCTTTGAATCACATCCAATTCAGGACATTAGCAGTCAATCTAAGGGTGCCATTCGTCTATCAGTCTCCCGTAGGGAATATCCGATTGGTTCCAAACTTGGAAAATCCTTATATTATTATCAAACATAGATCGATTTCGGAGATGGGCAATATCAGACCATCGCTTTTGGTACCTCCATCAGAAAAGGCCAGCATTTTCAAAGAAAAGAATTTACATTATACACCAAGAAAGGATCATTAGATTTTGTTCAAACTTTGTAAATTCTAACAATTTTATCAATGTTTGGTCAGTGAAAAATATCCTCCCACTACTTCTAGTATATCCCCCACAAAATGTCGAAATTTTCAATAATCACAACGCTTCACATGAGAGTCCGATTCGGTCTTCAAATTTCGCACATACCAATATTTCTATCAACACAAAATCATGTATGGAGAACGGATAGGACGGACCACTTCTTCTGGTACCTCTCCAACAACTTGTCAAAATTTAGAATTATTTGAATAACCATGTAACAAGTCTACTCCTTCTGGTACCTTCCCCACAAAGGATTTTAAATACCCATAAGCCTCACAAAAAGCCTCACATGGACCATTCCCGGCGAAGCGCTTGCCTGAGGTGATCGACACTTTGGTATTTTTTAGTGCCAACCTTGCTTTCCAAAATACTCCAGACACAATAGTCCAACAGATTGGCATCCGAAGATTTTGGTGGCCATTGTGCGCTGGAAATGAAGCGAGGAATCTCACTTTGTAACCATTCTTCGGTGGCGCGTGCTGAGTGCGATGCTGCTGAGTCCTGTTGGACTGTCCAATGTCTGCGGCCAAAATGTTAGCGCTCCCAAGGCTTTAATACACACTCCAGAATATTTTCGCAATAATATTCGGAATTTATTCTGATGCCACGGTTGATTAATACGATCGGAGAACGACCATCGGCTGTTATGGCGGCCCACAGCATCACCATGACCGGCGCTTGAGTTCTGGTGGCCAACCGAAGGTGCACATTTTCAGCTGACCTCTTTGGCAAGAAACACGATCATATTGTTTGTTTACAAACTGCTGAACAATGAATGTTTTCTCATAGGAGAAAACCAAATTCGGCTGTTCACCACTTTCCGCCAAGCGAAGCAACTCTTTAGCTCTTTTGCGTCTAATTTCTATCTGTTGCGGTGTAAGTTTTTGCACTATTTGGAATTTTAATGGCTTTGCCCCGAGCTCATTTTACAATATTTGCCGAATGGAATATTGCGATATGTCCAGCTCACGAGCCATTTTTCGGCCACTGCAACGCGGGTTTCGATCGAGTCGCTCTATTACTTTTCGAACCATTTCTGCTGATTTTGCTGTTTTCTTCTGTCCTCTACCTTGATGTTGGGCTACGCTACCAGTATCACGGAAACGAGCGATGGTACGAGACACAAAAAAATTATTCATATTTAAACTTGTGGGTTTCCAGCCAAATATAAAAAAATCACACTATCACGATTGGATTCTATCGCAAATAACTTTTATTCTGGAAAATTCTCAGCAAAATGCTTTTGTACGCTTGTAAACAATATAATAAACTGTCACTGAAATAATTTTAACAGCTGTCGGATGAGTGGCTTAGAAATGACTGCAGTCTGCAGTTTTTCTACTCACCCTGTACATCTATCGGCAACAGCAAATGATATTTTTTTACCCTGTTTTAAGACAAAACAAATATTTCTAAGAATATTTTTAAACATTGTTTTTCCGAATCAGCATAAAAATATATCAAAAGTATACAATCTAAGATTTGGACAGTTAGTAAGCATAGCTTTGTACGACATACTAACTGTCTTAAATTTTTTTAGAATATATTTAGCCACAATTTTTAATACAATGTGAGACTTAGTTTTATTAACTATTTTTATATTTAATTTTTTACTTTTTTATCAACTGCTAAATAAAATAACCGTAAAACAGACAATTATTTTAATATGTCCTTAAGTGCCCTTGACTATCATAAAACATTGCTGTCTTCTGCAGATCACATACTCGCATTAATGACTCATAAAACTTTTCAATTTCTACAAAATAAAAAATTGCAAAATCTTATCAGATTCAATTGAAATTTCCGAAACGTTGTACTTAAAAAGACATTTATGCCAAATCACAGGCAGTATTTAGAAAATATTTTATAACTAATGCATGCAATATTTATACCGACATATTACACAATCTAATTGTTCCTTTATTTTTTCCTTTGCAATTTACAGATGGTGACGAGAACGAAGAAAATATTTGTGGGTGGCCTATCGGCGCCCACAACACTGGAAGATGTCAAAAGCTATTTCGAACAATTTGGTCCGGTAAGTACTGGCACAGATCTCCCAAAGACAATGTCTACTTGACAATGTTTTCACCACTCCGAACACAAGGCCCGAAGGCCAAAATATTTATCCGAAATATTGCAAATGAAATATATGGACTCCACACGCCATACATCCATACCTACATGCATGTCAGTTCAATATTAAGTAAAATATAATTTAATATTTTGATCAATGTGGCTGCATGCGAAATGACAAAGACACATACAAAATTTACAACTTAAGTAATGACAATAAAACATTTATTACTCTAAAGACTTATCAAATTCAAGCACTCACATGTTCGGTGTAGCTGTTAAACACACGCACGCACACACACCAGCACACACACACAAACACGAATATACCCAAAGCCATCTCCATATGTCCTAATGAAAGACAAAACTGAATTTATGGCTTCAAATTGAATTTTCTTCTCTATGGCAGAAAACACAAACACTTGAACATTTGTATTCCACGCACATTTGTGCAAACGACAGTTCGACAGCACACACACACACAACAGCAACAACAGTATTACCATTTGACAAATACACCGAAATAAAAATCCATTACCATACAAAATTTCTTGGACAAAGGAGAAATCGAAATCGATAGATATGCTGCTGGAGTTCGTATTTTGTATGGCTTGGCTTCTTTCTGTCCCGAACACAGCAGTAAGCAGTTTTTTGAAATGAAGAGAGAATCAGTCCGAAGAAAAAAATATTATTGATTGCATTGCTGTACGACAGCACTCTCTGATAAATGAAGTATGAAAAAGACTTTGGGGCACAATGTAGTCAATGGCCAAATTGGATGTGAGTGGCATCATGTTTGGACAGTTGGGGGAGGAAAGGGTTTTACTGTGGTACTTTCAAAATATTGTATTTAGATCTCTCTTTAATGAGATATGATCGAATAGAAGATTTTGCGAAAATGCTTGATTTCGTAATATTCCAACGCAATTTTAAATTGTAAAAATGACAAGAAAGGCCAAGACGAATACGGGCTGTCGAGGAAATATACCGATAATGACTTAAAATAATATCAAATTAGTTAAACTCAAAATCGCGTTGCATGAACGACATATAGAGAAGCCCTGAAAGAAAAATACATTAAATCCACGATTTATTCAATAAAGTTCTAGGTAAAAAAACTTTTTACCAAACGTTCGTAAAAAAACATAATTTCAAAGAAAAATATTTCAAACAAGCAAAGGCTATAGACGTGCAGGGGCGACCATGTGATACCCTAACACGTCAATATGTTGGAAGCCGGCTTATGTCCAAATCTATTTTGGAAGATTTCGTTTTTGAACTACTGAATTGCTTATTTATGCACTCAGTCGTGTTATTATGTATTCGAAATATATTAAAAAGAAGTTGTGGTCCATTTTACAACTAAATAAAATTAAAATTCCCGACCTCTTCCCTGTTCTTAATTCTCTCCACATTCAAAATTCCTTGTCGATTGATTTTCAATTGTGACCTTTAGAGCGACTGCAATATCAGGAAAATTTTAATTTCTTGGTACATTTAAACATCAAAATGTACATCTCCATAAACCCCTTACCTCCATTTTCATTTTCGTAAGGATCGGGCCACAATTGCGACCCCTGATTACAGACGCACGGGCGGACATACATAGCTAGATCTACTCAGCTCGGCGAGATAGATATGGATCCTTCCTATGTGGGAAACCAATATTTCGAGGTGTTACATAATTTTTGGCCCAATCAAACTTATAATACCCTCAATACATAGTGTTGTAGGGTAAAAATATCCACGAGTTTTAAAAAATGATCTTACAACACCAAGATTTGTGACCGGGGATCCTCAAAAATATTAAAAAAAATATATATATACAATTTTTATATAGCCGTGAATGCCTCGATTTCTATTTTTTAAAAATCCTAAAGTCTTTCAATCTTTTTACAAAATAGACAATTTTGTATCAAAATCCATGAAATGCCAGAAAGTCTTAAATATAAAAAAATAAGATTTTCTAGCAAGAGGTTTGTGCGGGTAGTCCCTACAAACTTTTTTCGAAAAAAATCGATTTAAGAACTTTCGGGAACTCCTTGAATAATATTTTTGAAAAATCCACAACTCTTGGTCAGGACGTCCTTAAAAACATTTTTTTAAATCCACAATACAAGAATGACTCGATTTTTTTAATCCAAATTTTTTTTGTCAGAAAAACCGTAAAAAATCTTCAAAATTGTTAATAATATTTTTAAGAGACAAGTCCAAGGAAAAAAACTATTTTCAATAAAAACTACGATTCCTGGCCTGTATAACCTTGAAAAATGATTTTAAAAAAGACAATTTCCTATCTTCGGCTTTTTTTATAAATGCCACGATATTTAGCTTGAAAAAAATTTATGAAATCCACAATACCTCGCAAAATATTTTTTTTTTTTTGGAACTAACATTCTTGGCTAGAAAGCCCATTAAACTTTTTCTTGACCAAGAAGTCTTTGAAAAAATTATATCTTTTAAAAACCACGAAAAGTGACCGGGAAGTCCTTCAAAAGTATTTTTTATGAACATGACATTTCATACCTTTGAAGTCCTTGAAAATCATTTTTAGAGAACAACAGAAAAAATAATAAAATTAAAATGTTTTTTGAAAATAAATATTTGTATAAAAATCACTATTCTTGACGCAAAAGTCCTTGTTCAGAGAATCCTTGAAAAAAAATTATCAAACATTTTTTATAAATGCCACAAATTTTGGCTTAGAAATATTTTTATGAAAGTCACAATTCCTTAAAAAATATTTTTTAGAACTAAGATTCTTGTCCAGAAAGCCAAATAAAACTTTTTTTAAAACCACCAGAAACCTATTCTTGGCCAGAAAGTATTTGAAAAAATGTTTTTATTAAAATCAGCAATTCTTGTTGAGGGAGTTAATGAAAAAAGTTAAGGAAAAAACAAATTGCGGCTAGGAAGTCATTGAAAAATATTTTTTATATGAAAACCAACATTTTCTGTCCTTGCATTAAAAGTCACAAATCTTGTAAAGCATGTTATAAAGAACATGTTATGAAAACCACGATTCTTGACCACATAGTCCTTGAAAATTATTTATGCAGAAATCAAGGACAGGAAATCCTTAAATTGTGTATAAAATGGACTATTTGTTGCCTGATTCAATTTGATATTGTGAACTTTATGCATTTTGAACACATCCTCGCAAAAATTATTCAATATAGATGCCAATATTGGTATTACCCTAGAATGGTAAAAATTCATATTTTTAAGGTCTTTGCCTCACACTTCAGGTTAATGGGCCACAATGTAAAACTTTGGATGCGTTACTGAATCTAAGAATTAAAAACTTAAAATACGATGGATAGCATAGAAGGGCAACTAGAATGTTTCCATTTTTGTATTAATTACATTCAGGATTTCTTCCAATTTATTTGAATACAGAATTGGAAATAAGTTGAGCAAAATAGGTTGAAAATCTGAATCTCTCTTTAATATTTTCCAAAAATGAATTATCCAACCTAATAGATATTGAGTCTCAGTTTAAACATGAGTATTGGCAAAAGTGGTAATTTGAGAACCAATTGATTTCTGTAAAAGAAAACAAAAATATTTGAATTTAATTAATTAGACCCCACTTCTTTTGAAACTCCTCTGTGAACTTTTCAGAAACAAAATTCATTTCCGACCTATGCCGATTATGTAGACTGCTAAACGTCTCAAGTTAATTTTACTTGAATTATTCCGCTTCGAATGCAATTGGATTGTCATCATCATTGTCGTCGCCATCATCATCATTATCGATACAGGCATGCAGTCATCTCCTTATAATTGTAATGTGGAAAATTCAATCGAATTTCTTCCGCATTTCTGAGTGAATTTACCCAACCGAACTGCAATAATTCGGGGGTAGACTGTTTGTAGTCCTTTTGTGTTTCCATTCTTGTGACAAATTCACAAATCTCAGTATTTATGCATGACTATGTGTGGTGGTATGTGTGTGGGTGTGTGTTGGAGTATTTTGGGAAAAGAGAATCGGAGGAAAAGGAAGAAAATAGTTTTGTGTGTGTTCATAAATAATTTGATTGACTTCTTGACAATACTGCTTTGTTTTGCATACAATCACATTTGTGCACACAGACACACATACACGCACACACACATTCGTGTACACTCAAACATTGCATATTTGTTCAAGTTTTGTATGCCAAATGTTGAATGTTTCTAATGCATATTACTTTTGCATAAAATAAAAGGACAATATGGTACAACTCCGTAGGGGGAGGATGTATTGTAGCGGGCGGGTAACAATATTGAAACGTGCCTTCACTATGGCACAAGAACACTCGTGACCGAAAACTACTAAATAAGACGAAGAATCCATAAACATGCAATGTACAACAATGATTGGGTTCAATTGCCATTGGCAGTATTTATGGATTCGATATTCTGTAATACCCTACTCCAATTGCTGCTGTTATAGCGGAATTAGGGAAATAGGAAAGTTCGAAGGTAGAACGTTTTAATAGGGTTACTGATACAAAAAATAGACTCTCTTTGCGCTAAATTGAGAACTCCTTTAGTATTTTTAAGTTTGAAGGAACATTTTTAGTACTTTCATATTGTTTGAGACTTCTTATAATTCAAAATATTTCCCATTTCGTGGAATCAATATATCCTTTTTTCACGCTGCAATTTACATTGATATGCCCGAAGTGAGAAATTGAAAAAAATAGAAAGAATGGACTTATATTGTTCATTATCGCGCCTGACTCAAGTGTGATTCAAATATTACATGGTACCAAATATTCACCATATTTTGGATGCTGCCCGCTTTATAGGTGATATTTTTTCAATATTTTGATCATTTTTGAAGAAGGTCCCAAGAAGTGAGCCTATATTGGCAGAGGTAATATACTGTGCGACAGTTTACATGGGAGTGAGAAAGTCCAAGTATAGGTAATATAACTCGCTTAGTTGATCAAAATCCCAAAAAGGTCTGGCCTG